TGTATTAAGTTTCTGATAACATGACAATTAAAATGTCACAAGCATGCTTTCCATTCCACAGGGAAAAGGAATGTCATAAAGATAATCAAAAATTTTATTTTTATCCAGTTTTTTTTGTTATGAATAAGAATAAAATTATTTTTATGAATATACATTATATTTCAGGCATATATACATGAGTAGAAAACTGTAACAAATATTTTAATAAATTTTACGTTTTTCGTGCGGAGAAAAACATGAAATTACTTCCCAGACGAAAAACTGTTGCGATAGTAAACTGTAAACTGTATACACAAAAAAACTGTATACTGAGCCGTGGAACAGAGCATTCGCCATCGAATGAGGTGTCCCAAGTTCGAATCCCAGCGGTGGGTGATTGATACTAATTCTTTTTTCGGCTCGCAACGACTACCGTTCTGATGTAGAATATTCTCAGGGGTAGACTGATCATGGATAAGAATCCCCTTGCCATCTGCATAACCATTGAATGTTTTTGTGGTTTTCCTTTCTATACAACGAAAAAACAGATTTGTTCCATCAAAAAGCCCTTCATGAAGGAAAGTTTTCCCAATGCTTGATCCAGTCTTTCCTTGTTTCCAAGTTTCCTTGTCTTCTGAGTTGGGGCAAAATTACGAAGTTATGGAGTTGAACATTGAAAGTAGTAAACTCAGAATTGGGTTGGCTGTTCAACGCCAGTTATTAAATAAAATAAGCTGTATAGTAATTCTAGTTCTATCACTTAAAATTATAAAGGAAGCTACGAGAAGTGCCAATTATGTATAATTAATTAAACAGTTCATATGAGAGTATTTAAATTGAGAGAAGAGTCGCGTCAAAGGTAAATTCGTCCAGAACAAAACAATGCGAAGAATTACGATTTTTAGTAGGAAAAAGTGATTGCACCACAGTTTCAGGCAAAGTATACAGAGATGTAGTGACTCTTTATTTACCACAATCAGTTCATTAATAGCTACAATAGCTTCATTTGGAGATCACTGTGTTTGCTACATTTGGGTCTTGGTAGGCAGACATAATATCACTGTACGGTACTCAATTGACGAGAACTTTTTACACTATTTATTCACAACCGTTTGTCAGAGACAATGCTTGCCATAAACAGTAGCCTATCCGAAGATAAATGAACCTTCATTTTGTCACAAAACAATTGTTTGCTGCTTTCTAGGTGATGTCATCTTAGCACGACTTTACATTCAGTTTAAATGCTCAAATGCAAACAAGTTGAACACTGATACGCTATCTGTAGTTCATCTCTCCTATCTTTATTTAAAAACCGAAAGGGTAGTGATGCTCATGCTTCTGTATTTGTGACGCTTTCGCGCTCTTCCATTTTCAAGCTGAGTAGTCCTTAGTAGTAGTACTTTTTTGTGCAAGAGCTACTTAGCACAATGAGATACTTTATGAAACAATAAGTTTCAAATCACGTTCGCATTTGTCATTAAATGATAACTGCATCGAAAACCAATGGTTTTTAAAACTTATCAAACATACTGCCTGACTTAATACTGTAAAATTTAAACTAAACGACAAAAGAATTATATAAGAAAATTTTAGATATCTCTCTTTGAGTGGTACTATAAAACGAGCTTGATATCATAGTCTACATTTACAAGAACTATTCAATTATTTTGAGATTAATCACAAAACTGACACTCTGTTTTAATGTTGGTTTCTGTCTTAAATAATAATAATAATAATTAAATAAAACAAAATTTTTAAAAAAATTATAAAGAAAATGATATGTTTGTGATTGTTGTGGTGGACAATCCCTGACAAATTTTATGTAAATTATAAACACGCGAATAAAATGACACTAAATTAATTTTAAAAAAAGTAAGAAGTAATTCTATGTCTTAATGGTGATTTAAATCATGCTAACAATTATTTAAGTAACTATGTTTAGCACAGATTTTGAGTTATGTAAAAAAGTTTTATTTGAAAAATTTTAGAACGATTATGAAAATTTAGCATAAATTCTAGAAAATATAAATCTTTTTGTTTCTTTCACAGGATATAACATACATAATCTCATTTAGTTAATTAAAAATATAAATAACTTTTATTTTAAAATATGGAAGCTAATTTCAAATACAAATATTGTCATGCTGATGAAATCGAATCGCTATAGCTACAATAACTGTCGGAGATAATGCAACAGCAAAGAAATTTTGCACTAAGATAAATTACCTCGAACGATTATTTAATTGTGTTTGTCTTGAAAAAGTTGTTAACTGATTTAAAACTGATAAGCACATAACTCAGTAAGGACAAATTAACACTTTTCTCATTTCAATAATTAATATTAAATATTATAAAATAATGTAGAGAATTCCTTTCTGAAAACGTTTATCATCGAGTGAGTTATTCTTCCTCTTTTTTTATTTGACAAAAATATAATAAATCACATTTAGCGTAAAAAAATAACACTGTGATAAAATATTGTCCCCTAGGTTGAAAAATGATTTGCTTTATTGTAACTAACAAAATCAACACTAATGATAAAACCTGTATCACTAAGAATTCAAAGCGTTTGGATTTTAACTGCCTACATATAAACTAAAATAAAAGTTAAAATATTTTATTCTAAATATTTGGAAACTGAAAGTTTTAAGAAAAAGGGAATACAGTTCCAATTACGAAAAATGTAATTTTTGTGATACTCACTTTTGGATGGAAAAAAAATCTTTATTCTGCAATTTTCTCTGATGCCAAATGCTAGGACATTTTTAACAGCTTGCCAGTGAGTGGAGTAAGCGTGGTTCACAAAGCGAACCGCATAATATTGAATAGTAATCTTTGGCGACTGGCGAGCTTTAGCGAGTAGGGGCCGGAAGACACTAATTTAAATTTTTTTTTTTACAAATTTTGATTTTATTCATGAGGAAAAAAAATTTAATGCATTCTTAGAGAAAAATTAATCTCCTCTGCATAGTGATTAGCCTAAAACATGGAAATGTCATGAATATTTCATGAATTTAAGCTCCTTTACCAAAAGTCTACCACTCATTTATATGACCCAGATGACTNTAGTGGTTACTATATAGCAAATAAATATAGCAAGTACATATATTATATGATAGTAAAAAAAACATATTTTGGATTTATTTCCTGCATCGATTCAAATAAACAATTACTATTACTATTTAATACAAAATTGTGAGAAAAAGTCATTAATCCTTAAAACATTTTGTTCAATTACTATTAAAAATTGTCCCTCTCCTTAAAACATCCTCTGCCTTAAAAATTCGCTTGCTTTCAAGCAGGCTTGCTGGTATTAACAAGTGGCAAAAGTAACAACACAACATAATAAAAAATCATTTTTTTATGCTGAATTATCTTTACACAAACGAATTTTATAGTTGTATTCAAAAAGTATTCCACACGCTTAAATAGTTCTAGAAACATGATAAAATACGCAGAAAATGAAATTAAGACTAAGCTGTCTCTACTTTCCTGGGGACAATACTTCTAGGTTGCGGCTACAGCCTATATTTGGAGGGTCAAGAAACCAAATCCTAGAAAAGAAAGGTTTGTTTATTCCAGAAAAATGTGTTCGTTACTTAAGAAGTAACGTCTACGCACGCTTCTAACCAAATTTAAGAATAAACCTTTATGAATAGCGCCTTTATACGGGCATATCAGACACATATATCAAAATGTATTAAGGTGTTTCATTTTATAATTTGTGCGCTGTACAGTTCGCCAAAGAAAAAGTATAAAAATTTTAGTTCTAATGATAGGCATTTCCAAACAAAGTTAAAATCTCAATGGTTTAAAGGATTAACTTCAAATATGCTAATTAATTAGTAATATCTCCTAATATAGTTGAGGAATTAGATGCAGAAACATACTTTCTTTGAATAAGGATAACTTTTTCTTCCATGAAAATGGAGTTTTGACCACCAAATATGGGGAGTAGCCGCAATTTGTAAAATATGATTCCAATAGTTTAATCTGAGACAAGTTCGAAAGCTTGGACATTTTGGTTTTCAAAGTATCAGTAAATTTTTCATTATTAGAAAAAAATTTGCACACAGTTATAAAATTCATTTATCGAAAGACAATTTTGTGTAAAAAAAAAATTTTACTATTGATTTTTATTACTTTATTTACTTACCATTATTATTTGCTAGTGATAATTAAAAATGGGTAATTAGTAAAAAAATTTTAATAAAAAGTGGTAATTAGTAATTAAAAATTTTAAAATAAACAAGTTTTTACACGGTTTCAAACTATGTAATTTTAAATAACCAAATAGAAAATTAGAACAACACAAGTAAAATAGTCTGACTTATAAAATATCAAAAAATTCGTTTTTGTTTAAATTGCATTCCATCCTCAAAAACTATATGATCAAGTTTGTTTGAATTTACAATAATATATTGAAAATTTTATATTTTCCACAAGCACAAAGAACATTTTGTTTATAAATCATATAATTATTATAGCTTAATGTAAGAACACTTTCTTAATACGTTAATCATAACGAAATAAATGATTACCTGGATTTGAAAATTAATCAACTGTGGGGAAAAAATTTTTTTTCACTAGGAATACAAAAAGTGCGACACAATAAGAAAAAATAAATACTCGTTAACGAGACTTATCTCACTATAACAGTTCAAATAGAAAAATCCTTTCACTTTGCTTGAATAAGTTTTTTTTTTAAAATATAATATAAGTGTTAAGATGTATATCTCGTAACAGCTATAATCTATCTGTTTGTTATCTCACTTATTTTTTGTTACTCTTGACATGAAGAGCAGGAACTTAAATAATGAAGAATTCAAGAGAGAAATGCAGATACCTTTCAGTTTTGTTCGTGATTGCCTATTGCAGATTAATACCAATTTATTATTTACTTTTTTATTTTTCCCCATACAAAGAACCAGTATTCAGTTAGTAAACTGATAATAATTAACAGTAAAAAAAGTCTCATAAAAGTTTAACTAAAACAATTTATACACAAGAAAAGGCAAATATTATAGGTAATTTTTATTACAGGATCTTTTTTTTTATTATACAACAAATAGATAATGTATGAAATATCAAACATTACAAATGTAATAAAAATGAAAAACAATGTAAGACAACAATGTAAAATATTTAAATGTGAAGTACTTTATTTAAGTATCAATTGGTTTTCTGAACTTAAATCTTTTGTTATTTGTCTTGTAAGAGCTTGAACAAATTACAACATCTTCATCTTCATTTTTATTCTTATTTTGCTCAGTCCATTTTCGCTTAGTAGTAAATTTTTTCTGCATACTGTCCACAAGTGTTGAATACCTAAAATTAAAAAAATATATATATTAGTAGTTTAAGCAGGTAGAAAAAAAAATTTATATAAAAAAATACTTATTCATTAAGATTTAAAGAATCTTCATTTGATTCCTTTAAAGAAATAGATACCATTTTTGCCATTAAGAGTCAAAGTTTATTTAATTAAAGATTGATTACATCCAAACTACATGAATTTAATATGGATAAAAGCATATTTGAAAAATCATAGTTCCTTTTTATATTGAGTTATGTTGATTTGCTTAATTATTATTCTCTACAAAAATACTGCATGAAGTATAAAAAAACTGTTTGTTCACATGGAGAAATAAATAAGCTTCATATTTATTTCTACATATGATTATTCTTATTGAAACTTTTATGTAAAATATTTTTTTTTTGTAAATATTTAAAGCAATGTAATTAGTAGTTTTTAAACAGTAAGATTTTCAGAACATTAAATCATTATTACAACTTCTACATAATATTTTCCCCTTGTTTCTTGTAAACAATTATATATATATTCAACAAGAAGGTATATTCAATTATATCTATTACTTACTTACTAGTATCCATATCAATAAGTTAAATTTAAGGAAAAAACTTCCTTTTTATTTTCTTGAAGATTATTATTTTATTGATTTATTTTACATCAATAAAGAATTTCACAAAACATAAAACGAAGATTCATGCTTTCTGCTTTATAACAAGCATGCATTTCAGCATCAACACTAAAACACATAATAAACTACAATTGTTTTTCCTTGAAGCACTCGTACCCTCAATTGAGTATCTACCTTTTTTGTTCTCTAGCAGTAATGTAAATACTTATATAAGAAATGAGTAACACACATTATTTTAATATTTTCCTTTCTACGAATATCTCTCTCTTTCTCATACTTTTTCACACCAGTCATTTAAAAGACAAACACTTATTGTATGAAGAAAAAAGAAACTGAAGTGAAAGACTTAGTAAAAGTTGAAAATAAAATAGTGTGAACTAATTTGTTTTTAAATAATTAAATTAATTTCATTCAGACTGTCACTACACCTGATACTTTGAAAATAAGTGAGGTGGGTACATATAGTGCACATATTTTATGTGTGTAAACAATGGAGAAATGATAAAATATATATACATACAGAGATGGGTACACATATTTTAACATTGTTGAAATAAATTAATGGTAATAAATAAATAAATGTTGAAATAAATTAATTGTTTAAAGCATCAGGTATATCTTTATCCTTCAGTTTCTTGAAATTATTCAGCTTATATATTACAGTGCATTGCTTGCTTAATTTTTTCCCCTCTATTAGAATTTATTGCATTGGACTTTATTCAGAATATATCATGTTTCATAAGTTTTTAAAATGTATAGGATTAGTTTAAGAAATAAAGCATGAGTATAGCGTATGTTATGATAAAGAAATATTATCTAGAAATATTTGAAATCTTTAGCTACGTTTTTTAATGAGTCACATTTGGAATGATACACAGCAGTAGGACTGGGCTATAAATCGATATATNCAAAATACTGTGAAATTTTTATGATTGTCAAAATTTTGTATCCTAAAGAAAGTGTATAAGTTATTACAATAGCTTTCTATTTCAGAATTTAGAGTACTTTATATTTCTAAATATACTTACACAAATAATTTGATAATACTTTGAAAAATTAAATACAAAATAAATAAATTATAATAATAAAATTAATAATTTCATTTCTAAAAATCCACTCATAATCTTAAAATAAGCATGAAAAACTGTAACAAAACTAACCGATCAGCCATTTCTTTAGCAGAAATTCCATCCATTTGCTTAAGCTTGTCAAGATTTTTCAAATTATTTTCCTCCATTAATTTCTAAAAAAAATTAAATTCAATATTAGCAACAAAAAAAAAATATTGCATTACATACAGGATGTTTCATAATTAAAAAAATTATGTACAGTATGCAAAATAAAAAACAGATTACCCTGAATAACTTTTGATCTAATGATTGCGTCTTTACATTATAGGACTCATTCTTAATGGTTCAAAGGGGTGATCTCAAATATTTGAATTCTGAGGTATACAATTTTCTACATTATTTCAAAGAATGTAATTTTACATAGCAAAATACAAACTTTGAGAGAAATTGGTTGAATAGTTCCTGATAAATCAAATTTTAAAAATATGACTTTTTAAAAATTCGATTTCTGAGAAACTATTCCACTGATTTTGTTAAAATTTTGCATTTTGCCATTTAAAATTACATTAGTTAAAATGATGTCAAAAATTGCATACCTCACAATTCAAAATTTTTTCAACTATTATTGAATAAATTAGTAAAAAATAATGGATATTTATTAAGAAATATTTTTTGCATGGAATTATCTTTGGATAAACAAATTTTAAAATTGTATGCAAAAAATTTTCAATTTACTTAAAAAATTCTCAAGATACGGGTTGCAGCAAGCATTTTTTTTTTCTGTTTTAGAAACTGATAAAAAAAATTTCATGTTTACAAACTATCGTTTATGATCAACTTCTAAAATGTGCTAGTATAAGCTGTTGACGAACTTTCTTCTATTAACAATAAAAACTGATAAAAACTATTAATTTTATGTCAAACAAGTAGAGGGATATCTAAACTACAGATCTAGATAGAAATTTTAGAATATATTTCGAAATTCTATTTATTATGTTATTTTATTATTATTATAAGTGTTGTATGAAAAGGATATCTTTTTACACTTTTGTGAGTACTTGTAAGAATCTAATGCTATACATTTTATAATGAAACAGTTAAAAAGAAATTCACTAGCTTGATTATAGCCTTACATAATAATTTTAAGGCAGAAAACAAAATTTCTTTTAACTTTTATTTTTTTAAAGAGAAAAATGATAGAGATAATAACAATGTAAGATATATTATACAATTAAAAAAATTACTAAAATAGCATAATGGAACAGCTTAATGAGCATATTTAAAAGATATCAGGCTTTGAAAATGTTGTGTGTCGCAATAGCATATTAAAAATATCAGAATTTTAAAAACAATGTTGAAATGGGCAAAATAAAGATATAATTGCTGAAAAGCTATCAATAAGGATTAACACAAGTTAGATTATCACAAGTCGTAAAAGAGTGATAACTTAACTTTTGAACTAGCTAGTGATAAAATTGTATTAAAAATAATGGAAATGAAAAAAATAAAAGAAAAAATGAGAAACAGCTGCCAAAAAAAGTTTCCCATTTCTGTCAAAATAGTCATGAATGGTACACGTTAAAAATTTATAATTCAAATTTGAACCTTGTAATAACATCGTATTAAAATTATTAGAATTTGGAATAGCATGCGAAAGGGAACAAAAAAAAATTATAATTTCTTAAAAACTATCATCAAATAGCATGAAATTATGATTTAATCATCACAAATTGAACACATCAAAAAGTGACAACTGAAATTCAAATTTCAGTGCTCTCACTACAGTGCGAGAATCTCGCATATTTTTTATTTTCTCGCAATAAAAAATTATTAACACGAAAAGTTCGCGCACTCTATTAATCAATTTCAAAATGCACAAATTTTGGAAAAAAATTTTGTCTTTGGCCATTTTGAATAAAATCCGTTTCACTTTTCTTCCTTGATATTTCATTATTTTGAGCATCGGTCCTTGTTATCTATCTTCCCTATTTACCAGTATTGTTCAGAACCGGTGCGAACAGCAGACCCCCCCCAAGCCCCCTTTCAGAACACATTTCTCTGCAACCACGGGTTCACCGTAAGTAAGGCTTCTTCATGTAAGACGTTAAAATTTTTTTTGCATGAATGTAAGATGGACAAATATCTTGTTAAGGCGACATCTACTCCGTAACAGACAAATGAAAATGAAACAAATGCTGGTAGATCGGTTAAAACTAAACAAATACGGATATTTTTCAGTCAAATAAATATAATAGCTGATGAAAAAGTAGATGTAGAACATTTTCCATATGATGATGCAGCAAAAATATTCAATTAGAAGATGTTAAAAATGTATTATAATTAAAGAAATATTTTTTTTCCAAGTCTATTCGTGTTTTTTTAATTTTTAGAAATCTCACCCTGTTTTTGAGAAAGGGTGAGAAATTCTCTCCCATTTTTTTTCCTCTAATAAAAACACTGAATTTCCATTATATCATTGTAATAAAATCAGAATTTTAAAAACCATGCAAAAAGGGCTGAAAAAATAATAAATAACTTCTAAAAAAATTATCATCTTAAAATTAGGATGAAATTGTCAAAAATGCAACATGTTAGAAAGGGATAACTCAAATTGGAGCATACTAAATGTATTTAAAATATCAGAATTTGAAAAAACGGGTAAAAGAGGTCGGAAAAAAAAGACAAGTAACTTTTGGATAAAACTATGATTAAATGTCATGACATGATTTAATTGCCCTAAATCTAACACTTTTCAAATTTGAATTACCTTATTAAATACATCAGATTTTAAAGAACCTTAGAGAAACAATTGAAAATATTATTGGAAAACCATATAGATATCAGGGTATATTATCAAACTCAAAAGGCAGGCAGAGCAAACATTTTTCCTTCAAAAAGCAAATGGGACTGCCTACCTAGCAAATCCCATCTAGAATGAACTCTGCAAATACATTTTTATACACCAAAAGTAAAAAAAAAGTAAAAAAATTAAAATCGTCTTAATGCAAACTCTTTTTATTTATCCATATCAAAAACAAAATACTGTGAAATTTTTATGATTGTCAAAATTTTGTATCCTAAAGAAAGTGTATAAAAATGTTAATAGAAAATAATGATAAAGAAAAGCAAAGACAAATTTTATTATACATTAAAAACAAATATTATTTTGAAAAGTTAAGAGATTTTTCAATTTAATCTGCTACATAGTATTTTTTTACATTTAACATTTTTTCTTCTATAAAATGATTAAACATTAAACAGATCAAATCAGATTAAAAAATGATTAACAAATACATTACCTCTATTTCAGGGTTCATGCCCCTGTATGAGAATCTACCATTCAGCAACTGAAGACAAGGTACAAAGCTCGGTTCCATTATGCACAAATCACTAGTACAAAAAGTAAAATATTAAAAAGATATATAAATTCTTAATAACAAAATACTGATTAATCTAGCACAATGGATAAAACATAAAAATTTTACTAATGAAACAATTATAATACCAACTATACACAAATGATTTCAAGCACAATAATAAGGGATTTTAACATTCATAAGATATCCTTTCCTTTAATTCTATAGCCTCAAAAAAGGATGCAAAAAAATTAACACAACATTTAATAAAATGTCAAAAAAATCTGCCCCGCCAGAAAGTTAGAAGAGGACTTGCAAACCTTGTCGTAAGAATTCTTGTAAACTAAAGTGTTTGATTTCTAAAATAAAAATTGTGTGAATGTCTGAGATTTTAGAATCATTGAAAGGAAAAAAAAGGACATTGACAATTAAACCATTATTTATTAATTTTGCTTGAAACGCTATATACATGTTGCAAAAAATGAACTAAAGAACAAGTGTAAATTTACTTTAATGCAAGTGTTGAGAGATTTTAGATCATAAAATATTTTAATGCATTCCAGTCTCAGAAATTTTTACGTCTCATTGAGAACTAAAGTTATATTATAAAATTAATTAGCACTTTGTAGATTAAGTCAAGTGCACATTCCCTCTGGATTATGGGTTTTAAAGACATAATAAAATTGAATAAGTTATTTAAATAGCTGTCACTTTTTCACAGCTACCTTTTTTTCACCCTTAAATTTTTCTTTGAGAATTGAGAGTTAATTTCTATTTCTAAAATTAGTAATAAAATTTTTTCTTTAGTTATTCTAAAAAGTTCTGGTATTTTCTAAAAAAATAAGTAAATCAGATATCAGTAACTATATCATAAGAAAATCAAGTAATAATTAAATTCAATATTATTCTGATGACTTAATATCTAAATTAGTAATAAAAAAATTTCAAAATCTCTTAAAATATGCAATGTGGATTAAACACTCCGAAAAGAAATAAAGCTTAATAAATGAACTTACCCTCCTTTTATTAAATGTTCTGGTATCTCACTATCAAATAAATTTTTTCTTCTTTCCTCTTCAGCTTCCTTTTCACACTTTTCTTTAGTTTTTTTCATAAACTTAAAGAATTAAAGAAACACAATTAAAATTATGTTTAAAAAAATGTTGTGTGATAGTTTTAACATTTTTGCAATCTCTTAACCAGTTTGTTGAATTAAAAAAGAGCTTATATTTTAATAATAATTTATAAAAAAAAAACATTTAATTTTTTAAATTAAAGCAATACAATGAATAAGAAAATTTGTCAAACATTCAAAGAGGTTTCAAATAGTAAATTTATGTAAAAACAAACAGTGAAATTTTTTTGACAGCAATGCGGTAAACTAATGTTAGTTGTCTGTCATGTATTCAGTAGCTATAAAATTGCTTTTGCATGAAAGAGTTATTTTTCTTATATATGTCATGAAAATGGCATATTTTAGAGCTTAAAAGTAACAAAATATTTTTATAAAGACAAAAGCTGATTTTTTTCAAATCAAATGATCAAATTTTGTGTTCTTCAGATAAAACCTCTTTACTATAACATAGTTTGAATAAATGAAGTTAAGTTAAAAAAATTAGAAAATTTCTAGGTAAAAAAAAAAAAAAATACTTCATAACATATTACCTAGTTATTATGAGTACATAACACAGTTCATTGCTTTAAACTAAGGATCACAGTTTTTGTAAGCTAAAGAGGGAAATAAATTTGTTAAAGCTGAAATTTAATTATATAGATAAGATTAAAATATTATTCTAAGTTTTCTTAGAGTGTAGAGTAGAATGACTCTAAGACTGGAAACTCAACCTTGGAGCTTTCACTGTATATAAAATATCCCATTTTTCTTATTATTTCTATCTCTATTTCTGATTAATAGAAAATATCAGTTTTAAGTAGTTTTCTGTAAGAACATAAAAAATCATCAAAATAAGAGTTGCATCTGATAGTAAACTGCTACCAAATGTTTTATTGCCTAAAATTGAATATAAGTGCTTAAAACTAAAATTTGCAGAAATCGATAAAATTTTTAATTCAGTTCGACATATGAAAAATTTTAATAAATTTAGAATAACACATCAAACTTTTCAATAAATTAGAATTTATTAATCAATAATGTGCATTATTTCAATCTAAAATTCTTTTATTTCAATTTTACAACTTACCTTCATTTCCAAAACATTATTAGATAATTTAGCCGCCATTTTCAAGGAGTTTAAAACACCGTATTTTATGTCAAATATATGAGAAATATTTTTGCAGTCAATATAACTAAAATAAAAATTTTTTTAATAAATGTTTAACATCAACTACTGTTTACGATACCGATGTAAATATAACATTTCTTCACTTTACTTCTTTTAAGTACGCGTGTTCTAAAAGAGACCTTTACCAAACATGCTTATGTGAACCCCAAAAAAGAATTAGTTTACTTGTTGAAAACTTTTTTCAAGCTTGGCAGCAAAAATGTTTATTTACCAACAATTTCAATTTTTTATTTGGCTTTTAAGACATCGAAGCTTCCTTGCTTGCAAAATTTTAAGTTGCTAATAAATTGTTTGCCACCGTTTTCATATCAAATATTTTCTATTTGATAAACTACATTCATTGGATATAATTAGAATTTACATTTCGTCCAGCGATGGTTTGCGACAAGTGTATGAAAGTTTTATTACCAATGTCGATTTTTATTATTATAATTATTTCTAAACAAAAAAAGTAAAATTTCGTAAAAAAATAAAGAAATACCATGAATTTATTTTCTTAAACAAGATATCTAGTTACTCTAGAATTCAATTGAGCCAATATTATTTATATCTCTTTTATATTTGACTGATGAAAAAAAATTTATGAAATAACATAGCATTACAAACATAATCAGAAAAATATCCTGAAAAAGATAGAGACTCTGATGCACAAATCACAAGGTTTTATAAAATTCACGGTATTTCTTTTCGCTGAAATTGAAAAACTGAGAAGAAAATGCTAAGTGACATTATGATATATATATATATATCTATAAAAAATATTTGTAGTTTTCCTGATTAAACAACAACAACATTGTTCCTTTTAAGCACTCTTCTCTCAAAGAGTGTGTTCTCCCTGCCCTGAAGGATACTTATTTTCCTCTAACTCTGTGGTGACCTTTTTTTGAAAAGTAGCCAGCGCAATATATATGTTGTATTTTTATTATTAAAGGTCAAATTCTGACAAATATTTTAAGTAATATGAGTAATTCTTCGTCTAATAATAAAGATTTTGGTCCCATTGAAAATCTATGGTCAGAGTTAAAAGAAAAATCATTCTTACTACACTAGGATACTATCATGCAATGATTTGTTGGGCCCAGTACAGAATGTGTAGGAAGAGCCAGGATGCTTGAGAAGATAACTAAGAAACAATAAAAAAGCCGATCATTAATTTATCTTCATTTTTCCAAAAAAAAAAAAAAATAGTATGCTTTAAATCAGTGATTCTCAACCACTGTGCCGCGGCACTTTTGTGTGCCGCCAAATTCTTAAAATGTGCCGCCAAATATTAGAAATGATGCAATAAAAATTTTAATGCTTTTTTTATTNCTACATTCATTGGATATAATTTGAATTTACATTTTGTCCAACGATGGTTTGCGACAAGTGTATGAAAGTTTTATTACCAATGTCGATTTTTATTACTATATATTATATACTTTTTTCTAAACAAAAAAAGTAAAATTTCGTAAAAAAATAAAGAAATACCATGAATTTTATTTTCTTAAACAAGATATCTAATTACTCAAGAAATCAATTGAGCCTATATTATTTATATCTCTTCTATATTTGACTGATGAAAACATTTTTATGAAATAACATAGCATTACAAACATAATCAGAAAAATATCCTGAAAAAGATAGCGATTCTGATACACAATCACCAGGTTTTATGAAATTCATGGTATTTCTTTTCGCTAAAATTGAAAAACTTAGAAGAAAATGCTGAGTGACATTTTGATATATATATCTATAAAAAAAATAAGTAGTTTTCCTGATTAAACAACATCAACATTAAGCCCTCTTCTCTTAAAGAGTGTGTTCTCCCTGTCCTGAAGGATTCTTATTTTCCTCTAACTTTTTTTGAAAGGTCGCGAGCACAATATATATATATAGTATTTTTATTAAAGGTCAAATTCTGATATATATTTTAAGTAATATAAGTAATTCTCCGGACTTTGATCCCATTGAAAATGTATGGTCAGAATTGAAAAATAAATCATTCTCACTACACTAGTACGCTATCACGCAATGAATAGTTGGGCCAAGTACAGAATGCTTGGGAAGAGCCAGGATGCTTGAGAGGATAAATAAGAAACAATAAAAAAGCTAATTAATAATTTATCTTTATTTTTCCAAAAAAAAAAAAATTGTATGCTTTAAATAGTCAACTGTTCTGCATCAAATAATTTTGATCAGCAGAATATTTTTAATTTCTTAACAAGTTTGAATTCTCATCTAGCTGACAATAATTCAACTGTAGCTGGAAAAATAATAATAATCAATAGCTGGAAAAATAATTCTGCAAAGCACGCGCGGACAAGTAATTAACAAATTTATTTTATAATTTAGATGATATATAAGATGTTGAGAAATTTTAAGATGCTTAAAAATGTTGACTACATATTCGTAATAATAATTATAAAATATATATTGAAGAAATCGATAACCATATTATTCCAAATCTATGCATATGTTTGTATAATATTGAAATTGTATCAATTATTGAAAGAACAACCAAAAAAATGAAATTAAAAAAATGCTGATGTATAATCACATTCTATCAGAAACAAGCTTTTATAAACTCAACAGTTGTTGAATCAAATGTTTTTATCCAATAAAATGTTTTATTTACATCTCTTCGTTAAATTACGAATAAATTTTTAGACAACTGAAAGAGAAACATTATATTTGATAATTAAAAAAGGTTAGCAATCGGTTATGAGGGAAAAAATATAAATGAAATTTTACTCCACGCAAGCTGAAATCAAGTTCCTCATAAGTTAACCCCATTTAAATATTAATCGACCCATTTAAATATCTCATCACCAAATTATTATTCTCATCGCCAAATTATCATTGTCGCCAAATTATTTTTTTTAAATAATTCATTTTAATTTTACTCGGCTTCTATCAAATGAAATCTGTTGAAACTTTAGATTTTGCAATCGAAAAAAACGTAGATTAATATGGTATAAAAAAAATTTATACCTCATAATACAAAATTTTTTCATCCACAATTAAATTAAATAACAATAAATAATTATTAAAAAAAATATTTCTGCATGAAATTATCTTTGGGTAAATGGGTTTTATAAGTGGGTGTAATTTTTTAAAATTGCGTAATTAGTTTTAAAATTATGACTAAACACGCATAAAGTGAAGTTAACATTAGGGATTCCGAACTTTGGATTGCTCTCCTGACCAAACTATGGGGACTATATTTCCCAGATTGCGGCTACCCCCTATATTTTGAAGGTTTCCAGATATGTAAAGAAAAAGAGTTATATATGTTTATTCAGAGAAGGTACGTTTTTGTGTACGATTTCGTAACTTAATTAATAATTAGCACTAATTAATTTGCATGTTTGAGGTCACCCCCAGGAACCATTAAGATTGACACTTAGTACGTTTTGCCCCTTCTCAATGCCCTAAATTTGATATGAAATGTGTGCTAACAAAAACTACTTTAATTGGCATTAGAAATTGTGTGTTAATAGATTCTACTTGCATTGTGTTTAAGTAATAGGTATCTAAATACTTATATAGATGATGTGGTAATAAGTTTATTGTCCCTTTAATGAATAAGTAACCCTTTTATTTAAACATATGTATCTTTAAATAAATATTTTACTCTATTTGATTTTTTTATTTTGTACTTTTCAAAAAATAGGCGAAAAAAAATTGGGAAAAGTTATTACACCAGATCCTTGGAAAGCTGGAGCAAGAAATACTACTGGTAAGCAATTGATGACTCTTTTTCTATTTTAGATTTTTACCACAATTAATAGTATTGTTTAAAACTTTGACTATTGGTTTATTTAAGTTGATGTATTTACCCCAAAATGCTTTATAAGTATTTACTATGCCAAAGTTAATGAACAATTTGTTTTTATTTTATTATAATTGAAAATGTATAAAATATACTTTTTAAAAAAAGGAGGCATTCTTAAAAGAAGATCTTAAATAAAAAATGTTATTGTTATTACTATTTTAATGAATCTGATTTATTTCCCCCCTGCAATGATCTGTTAGTGCCATTTTCAGACATCTTGGAACAGGAAAACCTTTAATTTTATTAATTCTATATTAAAGCTACATTATGAAACTTCAGAGATAAATGAAATGCATGTCTTGATACAAACTCTCAATTTTTGCATTTTTAAATATACATGAAATATGTATAATTTCTCCCCTTTAAATCTACTGCTGTAAATCTTATTTCTTAAATAATTATGTATGCAATACAAGTGGCTCTTTGTATAACAGCACTCTATCTAACAACAATCTCTGTTTAAAGAGGATAGGGTATATTATAATCTAAAATGTTTTTATTGTCTAAAATGTTTTGACTAGTGAAGGGAAATTTTTTACATTTTAATATAACATTACCTTAAACTGACTATATTCTCTTCTTTATAATTTACTGATTATTAAAAATTTGCATATTTCAAGCATCTGGTCACTATAAAACCTAAAAAGTCCTAGCTAAACTGAATATTTTTGAGCTGTTCATTCTTAAAAATTGGCTCTTGCTTTCAGAAATCTTGTATTTTTCGTTCTAGACATCTTGTATTCTGCTTATTGCTATTAACAAAAACTGTCAAATGCCATTCGGAAACTATTTTTGCAAAAATCTGGTAGTATGCTGACTTTTTTCATCTCCAAACTAATTTACCCAGAAAATATGCATTAAAGATCCCAGTTCCATGAAACTTAGTTAGTTGATCTTCATGATTAAGTTCCAAACTTGCAAATGTGGTTATAAGACTAATTTTCACTGTGAATCATCAAATTGTTCCCGAAATGATAAACTTACACAGTTTTGATTACTACTACAAAGAAGAAGAACAAACACCTAAATTTCTTTGTTCTTTTGACGTAAACTTCAATTTTTTCACCTTCACATATTTTTATTACTGTTAAGAATAATGAAGATCTATCTTGGCCACCCCTCTACCCAGGAAATTTAACTTCCTCAGATAAATACAGGTTCTACTATTCTTAGTTGTCTTATTGCCCTTTCTTTCCTTTTTGTTTCAGTACTCGATTTATTACTTTCTAGCACCATTTAACTTTGTTACCTCAGGTTTTTTTTTGGGGGGGGGGACCTCAGATGTTGCACAAAGTAACTTCTCCTTTGTTTGATTATTTTACTTGTAAACTCTGCATTCTAACCAGTATTGTACAACCTGTTTCTAATAAATGTTTTTTAGCTTATTAAAATTCTTTTTTCTTTCTGTAATTAGTTGTAAAATAACAAATGTGACCATGTCTAAGGTAATAAAAAGTAAATCTAAAAAATATTTTCTATGAACTGGTATTTGCATTTGCTAATACTAATGCAAATTTATATTTTAAATAACTAATAATTTATCCATTCTTTATATAAGATAACAAGTTTTTCATTAGTTCCTGAAAATGTCTATGTTACATCATTATTCATATATTTATTTTAATTTATATCATTCTTCTTTTTTCTTTTAATTTGTGACATGGCATGTATATATTATCTTACGTGGCATGTAAACTATCTTATTCTTATGCCTATTATGTGTTTTTTTTTTCTTTCTGAAAATGTTATTGAAATGAGGTATTGCTATTGACCAGCAATGTTGTATGTCTAATAGTTAAATCTAACTGACTACAAATTTTAAATTATGGAAGCCAAGGTTAAAAGAAAATATGAATTATAAGAATATATATATATACATACAATATATCAGCCTATAACTCTTTTTTTCTTTTTTTTTTTAACAGAAGGTGGCGGCAGAAAGATAAATGAGAATAAAGCACTTACAGCAAATAAAGCGAGGTAACTTTGCCATTTGTTTCAAAAATATTATTTAAAGAATTGAAATGCTTCCTTCAATACCTTATTTAAACAATTGTGTATTTTTCCCCCTAATGTAGATTAACTGTGGTTTTAGATAATAATATAATTTTCATACTTTAGTGAAATTACTAATTGATTGTATCCATAGCACTTTAAAAACTTTTGTTCTCTAACTTTTCCTAATAAATTTATTTAAATAAAGCCTTTAATACATTAAAGAGAAAATAATTTCTCTTTTTCTTATTCAATCAATAAGTGTTGTATAGATTAAGAGACTCTATACAATCTTGTATGCAAAGCTCACAAAATTTGAATTTGTTTCATGTTAATTATTGAAAATAAAAAAAAATTATCATAATCTTTTTGACTCAGCCCATTATTGACTGGATAGTCTTTACATTTTGCTAAAATTTTCTCGATAATAGTTATAAAGAAAAAAATTTCTCTTTTTCATAATTGCAACAAGATTTGTTTTCAATTATGAACTTACTATTAATTTGAGTTGCAACTTGTTATCAATAACCCTATTATATGTTTGAAAACATATCTGTTCAAATTTTGTGTGACTTATAAAAATATGGACACATTTGCTGTAAGGATCTAAATTCTATGATTTTTTTAATATAATTAAAGAAAAATATATAAATGAAAAAAAAAGGAATCAAGGTATTTGAGTTGTTACAATTTTTATTTAATCACATTTTGTTCCAAAGTAGATTTTAGCTTCGGCAAGTGTATTTCCAACAATAAATTGTACCTTTTATAAATATGGGAAAAATATGATATTTAAGTTCAATTTAAAGCCTTTTCAAGAATTATGAAAGTTGTTCTAGTATACTTATAAATCAAATTTATATTTTGCAAATAGTTCGCAGTCATCTTTTTGGTCTGACTTAAACTAAGGTTCCTCATCTTTTTATTATTATAGTTCTCTAATTCATGCTTGCATCAGAAATACCAGAAAGTTATGTATTTAGAATTGTATTATACTCACTTTTTTTCTGTTTTATAATTGTATGTTACATAACTTCTTACATTTTGTAATTTTATCATACTCATTGTTCTAGTTAATTAATTAATAACCATCATGTCAGTGTAATTTATCAAACACATTTTTCATCTTTCTCACTGATTAATTACGTTATATTGGTCTAATTTTAATTAAATGCCCTAACTTTTTTTAACCACTGGATTTTTCTTTGGTTTTCATTGGTGTGAAAGGTGCAGGGAAATTATGTTTTTGTGATTATATCATACAGCAAATTTTTTTTAAAAATTTTATATTTATATCAGACATATTTTTTAAATAATTAATAACCATTTTATTGATCAATATCTATTTAAATATTACTTCTTTTTTAATATTTGACTTATCTCTGATTTACATAAAAGCTAATTAATGATTATACCATACACATTTTGTTCTATTTTATGTTTTATCATACACAGTTTTTTTAATTTTTTTATTTTACCATTATATTACTCATTATTTACATTTTTTCTAATTGATTAATATTTATCTGATTGAAATAAGTAATTCCAAGAAACTGAAGTGGAAAGATATAATTGCTAACAGAAAAATTTCATTTGCTCTAAAAATTACTAAGGTGGAAAGAAAACAACAAAAACAGGCTCCCTTTCTTATGATTCACCAAACATGAATAAGAAAAATGAAAGATTTAAAAATTGAATGTATTGTTCCTTTTTTCAAATTTATTTTGTTTTGCTCATTCACATTCTGTTTTTAAGCACTTCAAACATGTCAACTTTTATCACCTTAATACTTTTTAAACCAATGAGGTTTTTCCATTTCCAAAACATCTTTTTGGCCTACTTTTAATTAACTCATTTTAACTACATTTTTTAAAATTAATTCTAAAACTTTCTCTGATTTTTGTTTGTTACAAAGATACAGTAAAAGTATCTATTTATGATTATGTTATGCTTTTTTTTTATTTTTTAGTGTACTTTAAAACATTTGTTCTTGTGTCTATGGTTGCTTAGTATGTCTTTGTAAAAATGAAAAGAGGGAGAATTATATGGTTGACCTATTTCTTTTAAAAGTTTTCAAAAACACAGTAAAAGTATCTATTTCTAATTATGCCATTTTTTTTTATTTTTTTTTNTTTTTTTTTTTTTTTTTTTATTTTAAAATCTTTTTGTGTGTGTGTGTCTGTGAATGCTCTCAATATGTGCTTGTAAAAATGCACAAGAGAAAAAGTTTACCAATTTCTTTTAAAAAATTCTGTAAATCTCAAGTTTTTGTAGGCTTGACAGTAACAGAATAGTTATATTCCCAAATAATTTTTCAATTATTTTTGTAAACTAATGACATATATTAGAAGTGCCCAATGAATTAGATTTGTTACACTGTTAGTAAATATATAAAAAAGCATTAGAAAATATTTAGCTTATTACCATTTTGCATTATTTAAGCAATTGTTACTTTCAAGTAGCTCTCTTTTACAATTTGCGTAATTTTTTAATGGTTATAAAATGCTTGTTAGCTATATATAAAAATATTTATTGTAACAGGGTATAAAACATATGTATTACTCGTAAAAATGTTTCATGTAAACATATAACAAAAAAAAGATTTTTTGCATTCAGTTTTTCAGGCCATGTGCCACTAGAAGCTTGTATGAAAAACTGTAAGCTTCATTTTCATTTGCACTTCCTTTTTCCAATCTGATGGCAGAAAGTGTTCTTATGCACTCTTCTATGTATTCATCTCTCTGTTGCGTTGGTATTCTTTTGATAAAAGGGTTGACAGCAACAACACAGTCTGTAAAATAGCAAGTTAAATTTTTTTAATAAGAAATAAAAGCATAGAAAATTATTATTATTATTATCTATTTATTTTTTATGAAAATTGTTCTTTAAATATTGCATACGATTTTTGATTATTTTGAGCCCTCCTCCCCCTTTGTCTGCAAAAATAAGCTGCAAATCTGATCCATTACCGTTAGTACTTGCATAATATTTAAAAGGTCTTTAAGGAATAGTTTTTATCGCTAAAATGTTGCTAAAAAGAAATACAGTAGGACCTCAATTGATCATTTCTTATAGGGCCATTCATTATGGATTATAGATACAGGAATACTGGTTGTTGTTCCATTTCACCATCCATGTCAGCATCGTTTTGTACTTCATTTTCTGCAGTCGTTTTTTAACTGACATGCACCATAAGTTTAAATATTTTCACCAACCAATGCATAGATATCAAACATGGTGTTTGAAGCATTTTCCCCAAACTGACACTAATCTTAATTTTTTTGTTCCTCATTAGCATCATGCATCACAGTTTTTCTTCTCAAAACAAAATAGCATAAATTTTTTTTTAATGTTGGTGAAATTTCTAAATGATTAATGCTAGAATCTTTTTGTTTCGACAGTGATCTAAACAGTACAATAATATAAAAATAAAATTCAATATTTGACCGGTAGTACAAGATGATACATTTGAGAAAATGAAAGCTGGGAGAACGATAGATTGGAATTTTTGTATCTAAGAATAGTAATAGGCAGCTTTAAAATTGTCCGGATTAAGGTTACAAAGGTAAGGAATCATTTACCACACTTAAGTGAGGATTTTCTCAAATCTAACCTCCATTATTAAAATCATATTAGTTCTGTCAAACTATATATTTTTTTCCTTTTTTTGTTAGCAGACACAAAACCGTAACTGCGCTAAATTTGCATAAATTACTGATTAACTTATTAAGATCTCTAAATATAAAACTATAATTTTATTTTTCGTTGGTTCGTAAAGCTTTATATACTAGAAATAACTTCTTAACTAAAAAACTAATGTTTTATCAGAAAATTTGCATAATATAATAACATAAATAATTTTATGAAAGTGACATGCATAGCTATCATAATTTTTACTAGCTTATTGCTTTAGAATATTTATGATTGCTTATTTTATGATTTATAGGCAAGTTGAAATTTTGGTTAGTTTTTAAAATAGGAAAAAATACACATCTAAAGTTCTAAGATTCTGCTGGATAAAATATATCATATTAATTCATTCCATTCAAATTTTTTATTTTCTCTCTTTTGGGTTGATTTCAATACACATAATCCATTCCAATCACAGATTATTCTCAGCATATTGTTACTCTCAAATTTTGTTAGGATTTAGAATTTTATCTAAAACTAATGAATCTTTACGCTTAAAAATATATTTCTTAAAAAAAAATATTAAATTCCTTACACGATGAAAAGTGTGCTGTTATCAAAAATATTCTTTAACTAATTATAAAACTACGCTAATGGGTGAAATTGAACCAGTATTTATTAAGATGTGAGTAATTCATTGCGTTTTTGCTTTTGCTGAGAGTTTGCATCATTATCTTACATTTTGAAATTAGGTATCTAGAGTTAAAACTGGTTGAATATTAATATTGAAGAAAAATTTAAATTATAAGTATAAATAATTAAATATTTTTTACATTACTACTTAATGTTGAAAAGTTATTTTAAAAAAATCTTACTAAAAATCTTTTGTCTTACTTAAAATATCAATATTTCTTTTTTCAAAATAATTGAATTTTCTTTCTATTTCAAAAATAGATAAATAAATAGAAAATAGTAATGCATTTGTCAAGACTTTTAAGAGTAAAGCCTATCAAGGCTGACAAAAGCGAGGAAAATAATGAAATGAGGAAAGCATGAAAGCTGAAACCAAAAAATTGTTTCATGTAAAATTTATTTTTATATTAATTTGTTTTAGAACAGAACGAGACGCATTTAATTTGGAAGAGATTGAAAATTGCTTTTAGATGTACTTAATGTAATTTAATATATGAATATATTCTTTAAATTGTTTCTCTATTTCCAGTTGCACTCAAATTTTTACATAAATTATTGGTGATTCTGCCAGTCTAGACAGACCTCCTGGTGATTTTCAGACAGTATTTTTCAATCATGCAGAAACAATATATATATTTTGCAAAAATGCATTTTTCCAGTTTACTTCATATTGCAATTTTACACAGATAAATGTGCTGCTTATTTCAGCTTTGTTTATTTTCTGCTGCTCTATCAGTAATTCTGGTTATGCCTCTGAGCTAGGGAATAGACTGAAAACAAACTTATTGTGAGAAGGGTTAATTATTGTTTTATTACCTTGAAGCATGTTTGTTGACGGAAAGGCAAAGCTTCGATTCATTGTAGCACAATTGATTGTTGTGATTCCAGCATTTTCCAACATTTGAGAAAATAAGAAAGCCGGCTGTGCTGTGTTTTGAGTTTTTGGTATGAAGTTGTTCACATCCTAAAAAAGAAAATCTTCAAGAATTAAAATTTTGAGGTTTTTATTATTTAATTTTTTTTCAAAAAATTAAAGTGTATTAACGTTTTTGTTGCTATTCTTTTTTCCAGCATGGAATGCAATTATAATAACAATCGAATGCTGTTGCAAAATCATCAGCAAATGTGCTACGAAGTAGCTTAAAAGTTTTGAGCAACTAGAGTAAATATTCCTTATGCAGTTTAGGTGCAACGATTATAAACTATGATTTTAGCTTTTTTAACTCTCTAATATTCAAGCTAGCATTTTTTAATTATATTTTGCACGTTAATGAAAATCAACTAGAAAGATATTTTAAAATCAGATTCAAAAAATTAACACATTTCTTTTTATTTTCATTTCCATTGGAGTTTAAAATAAAACAATTCGATCTAAAATTTTTTGGACATGATTTCTGAACTTAAGAGCCCTCTCTTCCCTAGCCATCTGGACTTTTAGGTTAAATATATAATTTTTTATTTACGTTTTCTTGATGTTTTGTTCTTTACAAACTTTTAATGATAGAGTATCATTTAAAGGCATAAAATCCTTATTAAAAATAATGTGAAATAGAAGCATTGCTAAGTTAATGAAGAGATAGAATGGCAGTAAAGCTGATGATTTTGAATTCATTTTTTTAAAAGTTTTCCCTTGTAATTCAACAGTTAGTGTTTTCAATTTAGATATTTTGAGCTATCTACTAATGTGTGTTAGAAACTGCATCGAATTCTATAACTTTGGAATTTTGTGTATCTTTTTTTATTCAAAAAAATTACACATCAAAATTATACATCACAATTATACATCAAAATTATGCCAAATATGTTATACATCAAAATTATGGCCAAAGTTAAAAATCTTTAAAGCCAGCATTCTCATTGGATAATCCTTATAGCATAACTAATAAATAAATTTGTAAATTAACAGTAACATATCATTCAGTTCTTATGCTTGTATAAAAATAATTACTCTTTTTATTGTAATACTTTTACAAAATTAATTTTAGTATGTTCTAAATGAGCTGTCTTTTATTGCATAATCTGAATAAATTCAAATTTCTGAAGCTCTGTCTGAATGTTCCTTTTAATGAACCCTGGCTGTTCTGCAAAGACTTTGTTACATTAGCAAACTTAAAATGTTAATGTATCAAAACTACATTTTTCCAACCGACTGACGTGTCTAATGAAATATTAAATCAATTTATGTGAAGAGTACTATCTGATTTTTATAAACAATGTCAGTATAGTTTAAATTTAAAAAAACTTATTAAATTTTTTTTTAAATAGTAAATAATGTTTATTTTGAAACAAAAAAAAAATGCCCAATTTCTTTAAACTGAAATTATTTTGTTATGTACTTCAAGTATTTTTAATCAACAAGATAGATGTAAGCATGTTGGTTAAGGATTAATATTACTTTTATGATACAGTGTACTTTTGATTAAAATTATATAAATTCACATTTCAAAAGTTTAAAAACTTTTTTAAAAAAATGTATGTATAATTTTTTTTTAATAATTTCTCCAATTCTTACCCTTTTTTTTCCCTCTAAAAAACATGCATTTAACTTTTGCGTTTTCGAATATTTTATAGACTGTTCCATTCTATTGACGCCTGGCGGCTGAGTGGTAACGCTTCACTCTCCAGTGCCACAGGTCCTGGGTTTGATCCTCGGGCCATGCAAGGTTGGCTCAGCCTTTCATCCCTTCAGTGGATCGATAAATGAGTACCAAGCATGCTTGGGAACTAAACACTGGGGGTTCCGCGTTCGGCTGACCACCTGACCGTAACATGTGCTCCTGCACCCCAGAGCCCAAGGTCAAGAAAACTGAGATGGGCACAGTAGGCCTTGGCCCTCTATGGGCTGTCGTGCCACTAAGTTTAGAGTTTAGTTCCATTCTATTGTAGACTTTCTATCAGCTCTTAAAGTTAATTGAAAAAAATCATCTTTAATTAATTTTGTGATAATAATACTTGGTCGTATAATTACTTGTGATTACTTACTTCCATGTATGTTTTCCATTTGTCATCTTTTGCCATTATTTCATACATCTCAAACACTGGGCATTGTGCCACAAAAACTAATAAGCATTCTCCACCCTTGCGCATCAAATATTCTATGTTGGACAATGCTTTCTCTATATCCTTAATCCAGTGAAGACAGTAGAAAGAGAATATCTTGGTGAATGTTCCCCAATCATCTCTGAAATCAGTGACGTCCCCTGCTATATCTAACTCCTCAAATAAAACATCTTCGTCCTCACAGTGTTGTCTTGCATATTGAACCATGCTTTTGGATCTGTCCACACCGAGCAGCAACTCAAATCTCCCTATCACAGGTTTTAAAATCCCTGTTGTCACATCTCCAGGTCCACATCCGATATCCAGAATGATGTCAGTCTCATCCGATGAGATCTGCTTCTTAAATATGCCGAGAATTTGAGTTGCATCTCTTACTTGAAAAGGATTTGATTTTATGTAGAGTGCTGGATCGTTCATTTTTAGTGGCCTGATATTAAAAAGAAATAATATTTGTAGTAATATCATGATGGATTATTTAAAATTTTATGATTAAACTGGATTAATAAAATCAGTCTTAATCTTTTAAACAATAGCGATTTATTTCGTAACCATCAATTAGAATAAATCGATATTAAATATTTCCCTCACTCGTATTTTACAAGCTAAAGGTATAGATTGAACTTAAGTATAGGTATAGATATATAGTATAGGTATAAGTATAGAGATACAGGTATAGAGTGAACTTACGTAAAGGTATATATTGAAATAATACATCATCATTTAATGAAAGATGTGTAAGACTGTTTTTGCTAAACTTTATCATTTCGTCAAATTTAAATTAAATGTTTCTGTTCTGAGATCAAGTTTCAAATATTTAATAAGTTGAGTAACTTTTAGTGTAAAATAATAAGTTGAGGTCTTATATTAGTTGCTCATTATTCATCTTATATGTGTTAAATAAATGTATGTATCTTATCTTGATGACAAATAGATAAATTTTCAATTATTTATAACTTATATAATTTGGAAATAATAGTTGAAGTAATTATTTTATTTAATTAAGTTTTCTTCTGAATAATTCATAACAATGATTTTTTTTCAATTCTATTTAAACATTTTATTTCTGGATATTTATTATTAAATATTGTTTTTAGTATTTTTGTACGAGAAAAGTTCTCATTTGTAAGATTATCTGCTCTTAATAAAAACAATAAGCAGCACTTAAAACAGGAAATAGGATTATATAATGAGATATATATAATGAATATTTATATAATGAAAACCTTCTTATATCTTCCCTCTATTCAAACAATAATCGATAGTTAAAAGGTTAAATTATAAACTATGAATGAAGTGCCTTTTTCTAAACTTTCATTTTTTATAGCTAAAGGTGTAACTTTTAGAAAAATTATAGGACTACATTTTTTTATTTCTTCACAAGTTTGAATTTCGAAAAATCGCTTAATGAATTACGATTAGTAAAAATCCTCTTAACATATACAAAAAGTATAAATTCTCGCATGTTTAACTAAGTTTAATTTTAAAAGAATGCTTGATATATTGACCTTAGATAGCAAAGATATTCATTATTCATCTATCTTAAAAAATAACTGACTTCTTGACCCAGGGTCCTATCGTAACTCGATTGTATAATTGAATGATTGTGACATTGAATGAAAAAAGAACGTCAGCACATACGGCGTTCATGTTCACACTCTTTCCTTGAAAAAGAAAACCATAATTTTTAAGCATTATGTTCATCAGTATTCCTTTTTGTAATTTTTATATTTATGGAATAACACTAAATTAGTTTAGTTGTTTCTTGAAAGTATTGGTTTATAGTTTAAAAAATAATCACATAATTAATTTTGAATTGTTTCTTGGAAAATAAATAACAAAATGATTATCTTTGAAAAAAATCTTGAACTTTTACGTAAGGAAACTACGTAACAGAAAGATATTTGTATACTGAAAATTATGAGTGTAAATTACTTTGGACTCCTGATTTTTTATTTGAAAATGGCACTTTGCCATGGTAAATACAGAACTAAAACATGAAGGTACAATTAAATTATTTACGAAATTACGAATAGAAAAAACAAGTAGAAAATATTTTCAGAAAGTATTTACAGAAGTATTAAAAATTTAAAAGGTAAATTGATTATAAATACAAGTTAAATAAATACAAAAATATTTACAAAATTATAAATTACAAATGAACCAATCAACATATAGTTGCAATTAAGTTGTCTTAAGTGTGGTGTGTGGATTGTGTGCCTCTGTTAAAGTAGGAACCTGGTCATCCTGGTAATTACCACTCTTGCCTGGTTGCTCCCTACACTGAAATTACTCGAATTTGCCTCGCCCTGGTCAGACCCGCAAGGGGTTGCTCATTCACAGGGTCTGTTTCTGTTCAATCTGTGTGTTTGTGTTATTTTAGTGTGATATATACATCGAAGAGCCATTACATTATGACCATCCTCCATCTATAACAATGGGCTCTCCCAGGTTTTCATGGTTTCTCGCCCGGGAACAATGTTTTCATGGGGCACATTAGGACCCATAATTGTCATAGAACAATCCCTGGCGTCTGTAAGCTACTTGAACGTAGTTGCAGACCACGTTCACCCATTCATGGCAACAGTTTTTCCTGCGGGGGATGGTGTTTACCAACAGGATAATGCACCATGTCATAAGGGTCGAATCGTCATGGATTGGTTCGAGGAACATTCCAGTGACTTTCAAGTCATGTCTTGGCCCCCAAATTCACCTGACCTTAATCCAATAGAGCATTTGTGGTCCTACTTGGAAAACCAAATTCGTGCTGCCACGCTACCCCCTCGCAATGTGAGGGAATTGCAGGACCAGTTGGTGAGCGCTTGGTACCAGATACCTCAGACTACCTATCAGCACCTTGTGGAATCAATGCCACGGCGGGTGCTAGCAATTTTGAGGGCTAAAGGTGGTTCTACATGTTATTAACAGGGTGGTCATAATGTAATGGCTCTTCGGTGTATAAGTGTTGATTTTAAACCAAATTCTTGGAAGTCGATCTTGCCCTTCTCTTTCTATTCTGGGTCATGACTGAAAAGGAAGTTGGAACCCCAGAACTGTCCGTCAATTCTCGTTATGAATTCTATTATTTACGTGATTCTACTTTTTTCATAGATCAATCTCTTAATTTGATCATTTGTTTATCCACTATTTTTGATAACTCTTCTACCATTGAAATTTGTTTGTCCACTTATGTTCATTTCGAAAACCTACATTTTTGTTACTGTACTTAACAATGAATATTTTATAAATGTTACTCTCAAAATAAATTCTTGGATCCAGGAAGTTGACCTAGCCCTTAATTCTAGGTCGTAGCTATAAGGTTGCGATACCCCTGATATTTATTAACATATGCGATTTTGTATTTTTTATGTATCATTCCATTTTATATATCCTCAGAAACTTGGTTCCTTCCATCTGAACCCTATTCTCTTTATGTATTTTGTTTCCACAAATAGAAACCATTTGAACCAAGCATTCTATTTTGGTAACATTCTCACGACCTTCACATATTTGTGGAAATTAATGATTGCGGGAGGCATCTTTCGTATAAATTTTAGTCACCAAACGATGCACCCTTGGGTTCCAATTATATCTCTTTCGACAATTTTACGGTCGATGTACAATTATTTTTAATTAGAATAACCCTTTTTTTCATCAAATAATCTTGTTCAAAAATCGTAATAATTGAATGAAATTTTTTTTTATAAAACTATTTAGTGGTGCTGGTAAACGAGAAAAAGGGGGGGGAAAATAATCCCTCAAACTTCTCACAAGTTGCGTCAAAAATTAAAGTTTTTTTTAAAAAAAATTTTTAAAAATATTCACAATATTCATCTTTTTTAATTAAATATATTGTTACAGGCTTATGTTATAGGACGCATTGTTGCGAAATTAATGTTTTTTTTTCCGTACAAAAGCAATGCAATAGTGCAAATCCAAATCCTAAAAGTGCGAAATTAAATTTTAAGAGTGTGAATCAAATACATAGTTAAAGTAAATTTATATAATAAGTAAAACGTTCAAATATTCATTACAAAGTTATTTATAAACGTCGAAATTATCGTAATTTCAAAAAGGCTATGAAGCGTTAGACTTTTCCTATCGCGGTGGGCACTCAATGGTGTGGATAAAAACCATCATTTTTAAAAGCTGTTTTCGTGACTTCCAAAATAATTTAATCTACAAAATAATTTTTTTAGCAATTTTGCAGTTGTTTTCATTACGATAAAACAGTTAAATTTTTATGAGTTTAGGAAAACCACGAAGTAAATAAAATTTAAAGTGATATTTTTTTTTATCTGTGGTACAAAAAGGCGACGTTGCCTTTATTTTTTAAACTCCATTCAATAACTGCAAAATTTCATAGTCGATGAGGAAATGTTTTTTAGTTGTGGCAGCATGCTTCATGTATAAAATGTAAAGTTTCAAGAACTATTTTATTTCACTATGATAAGTCAATGATTCAAACAGAAGATCTGTTAATAAGCAGCTAAGATTTTAAGATAAGTGTTGGCGGAGATGCTTAATGTATTTTTTAGCAGTTGCTTTTATACAGGGCCCGATATAGCCTAATTGGGGCCTGAGGCAAAAACTTTTTTGGGGGCGCCCCTCTGCTGCAGTTAAATTTTTAACCTAAATTTTATCCCTATTTTAAATTTTTCACCTAATTATAGATAACAAGAAAATTAGCTAAAACCTAAAATAACTATAAAGTTCTCCCACACCCCTCCAATGGTCAGACGAAATATTGTTCTGTCCATTTTATTGATTTTCTGACAATTCTATGTCCATCATACCGAATGCACTTTTCTGATTGTTAACTTTGTAGCAGCGAAAAATTAAGCGTTAACTGTCTAGCAGCAAAAAATTCATATCCTTACTGACATTAGGGCGGAATTCAGCTGAATTTTCAAAATTGCTATGGCTCAATTAAGCCATTCAGAAGCTTGTATTTTTGTAAACATATCGCATTTTGTAATGTGTAAAAATACCGGCTCTTGATTGGCCAAATTTGTCCACATTAATTTCGAAAATTTAGCTGAATTCCGCACTAAAAATCCATGGATTTACGAAATGTAGATTGTGTTCATACGATAGATAAATGAAGAAGCCAACATAAAAATGACGGATTTTACACTAGTGATATTTTGTTTTAAAAAAAAAAGTTTATTAAAGAGAGAAGCGTAAAATAAGCTTTCTATTCGATTTCGGGGCCCCCTCTGAGGTGGGGTCCCGGGCAACTGCCCCTGTCTTAGTCTGGCTCTGTTTTTTTAAGTTACGCATTTCTAAAATTTCAAACTTTCGGTTTCCTTTTTCTCTGTTGATGAGTATATCATTGCTATTGAAGGAGACAGATCTGGAATTTTCTGATGTAGCAATAATACTAGTTTTTAAATTGTTTAAAATTTAGTTTTATTTGCATCTTTTTAT